TCCTGCTAAATAACAACAACAAGAATTTAGCCTTAAAGGTTAAACCTGTAAAATAATGTATTTTATATAAGTTAGTTCTCATTATATATATTATTTTCAAACGTGTATTTTTGGTAGGTTGCTAATGTAAATGTTCTTTGTTTGTAAAGCGTGTTAATTTTCAGAATTTCATATTAGCATTGTGTTTTAAGTTTTGTGAACTGGACTTTGGCCAAATGGCAAAGATGTAGATAAACAACATTTTATGAATATTTATAATTTTTATGTAAAAGGGTTTAATTAATTAAGATTGAGTCGTTTATCAATTATATTATATCTATCACTTTTGAACTTGATATGTGTTCGATTCTCTTAGTTTAATACTGGGGCCCCAACAATATTTAATTCCTTTGGTAAATACGCCATCTCATTTATTGATTATTATTTAAATGTATTGTGTTTTAAAGGGTTATAGATTAGAGTGAGTGGTCAAATAAAATTTAGTAACTCATACAATGGTGTCAGTTCAATCAGTTCCTGAGTATTCTCACATATGCCAAGCGAGTATACTGAGCTTAGTTGTAGTCATTTTGTATTTTTCACATTTAAAGTAAAAGAAAACCCCCAAAAGTTTACAGGAGGGTAAAAAAGTTTTTTTAATGTAAAATATTAAAAGGTACTATGGTTTAGTAAGAAATTAATGTATTTTCCAAATTTGATCAAAATATGTTCATAAACAAGCAAACTACAACAGTTGACTTATTCTCCATAAGAATAACATGGGAATTTTAAAATTAAAATTTTTTTGAATTTTCTCCGTAACAATTAGGCGCATAATAACGCTTCAATATACTAAATTATTTGTTTTTTTAAGCTCTACAAAATAGTTTAAAAAGAAATTGTGAAATTTTGTGTTTTTAGGGTCAAAAATGAGAAAAACCTATTTTACCCCATACAACCCCCCATAAACCCCCGTTCCCATAGTCCGATCATGCTGGTTCGCGAACTCATTCAAGTTTATCCTGCCTTACACCTTCAAACCAAATTTTATCAAAATCGGACAAAAATTACTCAAGTTATCGTGCGGATGGACACACACATATATATCTATATATAGATATATAAAAATTTGAACGAATGGTGTTTTTGGCCTCTGGGGAAATCAAAATGAAAAAGTAAATCGGTCCCGGGCTTAGGTCTTACCATGAGACCTACGGTAATAGCTACTTCCCTATAGGGAAATTCGCTAAAAGCAAGCATACAAAATAAAATCAAGGAGTTCAAAGAAAACCGCATCTGCAAAGCAGCAAACCATGTATCTTACCAAGCTATACATTAACATTACTTGTATAATCTTTCTTATATCATCATGCTAGAGAGATCTGCTTCATAAAACTCATCCAATAATAACAAAAGTCATGATTTTATAGTTTTCACAAACTTAGTTTTACACAGTTTTTTTACAGCTGTTATGGGAGGCGATTTCATACCTGAAACAGGTCAACAACTCGAGACCAAACTTAACCTAGATCTGCTCATGTGAAGGTTATTTCTATTCCTTGTATTATACATATGGATGTCGCTGTTTGTCAGAAATACCCTCTCGTTATCTTTGATTGCTACTAGGCACTGAAAATGTATAAATATTAATAATAGTCATTGCACCATACAGTTTTGAACAATGGTTTGCAATGGGCTCGGTGTTTGGCATAATTCTTACTGATATTTTTTGCAACAGAAGAACACTGTGGGTCCTGCTGGAATTACCCCATAGCCTAGCACCATACCCAATGTAAGTTTGGAAAAAAGCAAAAAAAAACATATTCAAGGAAAACAAAAGGCATTACTTTTAAGTCTACGCAACAAGAAAATGATTCTACTTAACTTTGACCAAAGTGAGTCTGTGGTCACTCGATCCAGCTTAAGACAGAGTCAAGAGAAAAGCCAAGCAGATTTACAGGAACAGGAAATGGACTCTATGTGTTCAGGGCCGAGACGTCCATCATTATGAGACTAGGGGCAGGGACGATTACCGGACTCTGCAGCATAGAAGTGGGGCGTTCGAGTCTTTGCCATCGCAGATTGGTATCACAATCCTCAACAAACTTCCTGCCAGCATCAAACATGCCGAAACCAAAAAACAATTCAAAATTCGGTTAAAACGCCTTTTGGTGTCCAATGTGCTGTACTCTGTCGACGATTTCGTGAACAACCGCTGGGATATCTAAATTCTAGGAAATGTCGCGAAAAAAATTCAGGCACTGGTGTTAAAAAAAACCCCCTGATCAAATGTAAATAATAACTTGTATTGTTTTTTCACAAATATTATCTGTCATTTGTAATGCAATGTATTTTGTCGACTACAATAAACAAATTATTATTAAAATACTTATTATTATTATTATCTGGTTCTACTTAAATAAAAAATTATTAACTGTGTTTCTTAGTTCGGGTGCAAGCTTACTGGTTAACGTAAATGAATTTCCTACTTTGCAGAGAGAATCCAAGTCAATGGTTCATTTTCACATAAATGGAGTGCCTAATTGCAATATCTAGAGTCAATGATCCGTCTGGCTCACGTCAATATGGAATGTCTACTTTCAGTATCCAAACTCAATCGTATCTTTGGTTCACTAATGGAATTCCTATTTGCAGACTGCAAATAGGAATTGCAGTACCTATTCAGTCTAGTTCACATAAACGGGAAGTCTTCTTGCAGTATCCAAAGTCAATGGTATATTTGGTTTACATAAATAGAATGGTTATTTGGAGTATTTAAAGTCAAGTCAGTCAGCTTAATTCCGACGACCCTTTATTGTCATTCATTTTGTAGTAAATTATGCTCAATGAGATTATTCCGATTATTCTTCCCTTTTTTTCTACGTACTGACCTTTGCCCTATAGAATCAGGAATCCCCCATGGAAGCGTACTTGGACCATACTTGTATTTTATTCTCTATACATCGGACCTACCAGAAAGTGTAAACACTATGGTTGCTACATTTGCGGATGACACGGCGATTTTATCTGTCCACGACAATCCGGCTCAGGCTACAGCAAATTTACAGCAAAACTTGGATGAAATTTCACATTGGTTTAAAACATGGAGGTTCAAAATGAATGAAAATAAATCAGCACACGATATTACTTTTACCGTACCCTAAATCAGGCTACATGTCCCCTAGTAGCCATGATCAATATTCACCTCCCTCAAGTAACAGAAATAAAATATTTGGGCATGCACTTAGATGCAAAGCTTAATATTGGAAGGCACATTTCTATAGACTAAAAGACAACATGTAAATTTAAAAACAACTGAACTTAATTGGCTTCTTGGATCTAAATCAAAACTTAGTACACAAAATAAATTGTTACTGTACAAAACAGTCCAAAAAACAATTTGGACTTATGGTATTCAGCTTTGGGGTTCAGCAAGTAGGCCTACCTCCAACATTGAAATTATACAACGTTGCCAATCAAAATTATTACGTAAAATTGTCAACGCACCTTGGTTTGTTACCAACAGAACACTACTTTATAATGATCTTCAAATGCAATTATCAATAATTATCAATCATTGAGATGGGGACGCCACCTAGGTGCGTATTTTAACCCAAATATGAGTGAAGGATGAGTGTAGAATGGTGTGTGATGAACAGTCAAAGAATAAATTACAAAATCTAGTGAAAAATCTATAAGTATAAAAGAGGATGTTTGTATATTTGTTTGGCAGTGATAAACTCAGACACCGCTGAACCGATTGCCACGAAACTTGGTACATACGTGTAGAATGTCATGGAATAGGTTTATACACCATCAGTTTCGTGATCCGTCCAATCGGCTCCGCCCCAGTGGCTCTGGAGTTTCCCATGTTAACCTTATGAGAAATGGAATTAATGAATCTTAACAGCTGTTTCAATTAAACAAGTTGGTTCTGTTCTATGATGTTCAATAGCATTAAAGTTACAAGGATTACCAACAGGGTGTAGCACTATTATTTCTTTTACATTTATGACAACAGCTAATTTGCAACCAAAAGGTGAGTGAGCGTAGCGAACGAACTTCAACCTGGAGGCGAGTTAGCGTAGCGAACGAGCTCCAACCTAAAGGTGAGTGAGCGTAGCGAACGAACTTTAACCAGGGGCCCATTTCATAATAAACTACAAGTTACAAGTTACAACTTGTAACTTGTAATTTCTATAAGATTTGCATTGGGCGATCAGCTGATTCACTAATAATATTAGTTTGTACTTTATTATGAAATGGGCCCCAGGACGTGATTGAGCCATGCGAACGCTAGTGTCGATGAAACTTTGTTATTATTTTAGGGTTAATTTCTTGATTTGTGCTTTACTGTTTGGTTATATAACTAGGGGGCAAGTTATTGTTTATGATTAGATCGTATTATTTGGTTAAACGAGGTTTTAAATGGCTGTAATAACGGGAAACAAATTGTAAACAAAACAGGACCTCTACATAAACCGTACATGAACTAACAATAAAATTGTCTTCAGCTGTTCCATAAGGATGAGAAATCTACTAAGGGAGTATGTTTTATCTATGGTTTTATCTTTTTACCTTGATTTCATATCACAAAACCTTGTTATGAAAATATCTGACAGCGTTACGTTAGGGGAGAGGGAGAGTTAAAAAATTACGAAAAGCACGTTACGTAATATGTGAACGGCCAAATATCAACCTTAAAAATAGTCCCAGGTGGCAATATCAGGGTTTGATAGACTGTATGTTTAGTGCTTTTTATAACAATGGAAAAATGCAACCGAAAGAAATTTGCACTAAGTGTCGAACAAATTAAATGTTATTGTTATTAGACAAAATAACAGGAGTGGAATATTTACCGATGCAAAAAGTAAGCAACAGACTGAGAAGCTACAGGACTGCATTAAACAAGCCTGAGCCTGTTCGTAGAAAAAATCACCAAAACATTTTGCACAGCGGCTGTTTTTTTTTTTTTTTTTTTTGGCTGTTCGGTATTTATTTTGTCGCTGTTGTGATTGTGAAACCTAAACCTACCTAAGCCACTATCATTAGGTTATGTATGTCATATCATATTATAACATTACGATTACTTTATTCTGTGGCGTAAAATTAAGTTAATCACCGTGATACTTAACATTTAAACATCATACATTTTTTTAAGGTTTGTATAATACCTTTATTTTTAAGCTGTTTAAAACCATTAGCCTATTTAATTAGATTATAGGCCTACCAAAAGCCAAGTCTTCAGATTCTGTTGTAGGCCTAGCCTAGGCTAGATTTGATCAAATTACTGTACAGGTTTTGGTGATTATCATCACTGTCATTTTAGTTTGATCTATGTTGTAATCCCCCCATATAAAAAGTCAGATAGGATGTTAGGTTAGACCTACCATTTAAACATTGATAGGCCTAACCATGGTGGAAGTAAATAAGGTGTGCTACTCAGCCGGACGGGTTTGAGACCGTTCTGCGCATCGCGACGTGACGTCACCTTGGGGGCAAACCGCTTCGCGCGCGTATATAGCTCAGCGTGACACTGCTCTATTAACATCAACATTTTGAACTGTTAGAATTGAGGAAAAATTATGAAACTTGACATGGACATCAATTATAAGTGGACGATGCGTGTTGTGAAAAAATAGTTTGTAATTGTTAAAAACTTAAGCGTGAAATCACTCTTTATACTTGGCCTTTCTTAAAACTAAACATGCAAAAGTTAGTCGGCTACCAAATCACGTACTATTTGGTTAGAAGGATTTGACCAGCGGGAAAGTTTTAGATAAAGATCCAAATTTAACTTTCCTTCAAACTATATACCGTTAGAGAGGCGTTATTTCCTGAGATATGCTAAGTTATATGAGCGCGTGATCGGAGCGCGTGCTGCGAGTCGAGTCAGTTGCCAAGTATTAATCACACATTGCCATCCAACAAATAATGTAGTTTCATGAATATAGTATCATTGATATTTTTATTCCTGTATTTATATTTTTATGTGAAAAATTGTTGTTCTTGTTGACTTCAGTGTGTTTTCCCCCGTTTGAATATGGGTTATTTCGTAATAGTTCGCAGAGAATATATAATATTGTCTCCATGGTGAATAGGGTTAACGTTGCCAAATTGCATTTAAAGTATTGCAAATCGTTGTTGATTAGTTAAAACCAAAGTTTGCAAATAGTGGTTTAAATAATAAATTATCTTTAACGCAAAGGAATGTATTTAACGTATCATGTAAAATAAAATATACACTGTTAAAAAATAAGTTGGTGATTAAACATTGTATTTATAATCAGGTTAAAATATAAAATTGTTTCACTCTTGCAATACCATGATAATAAAATGTGATATTCCAGTTCGAGAGCTAGGATCCTATTTCACTGGGGTTGTTATCTATGTCGCAACTTTGGCTCGGGTGCGTTGTTGTGTGCGGGGGATGATCACGTGTTGTTTTGTTTTCGTTTCTGTGTTCACCGCGAGTTGCAGTAGATGTCAGTTTTCCATAGGGCACACATCTTTCTACAAAAATGCCCCATTGTGCAGTGTACGGTTGTTGTGATAGTTCGAAAAATAAGAAAACGCAACCAAACGTGCGATATTTTAGTTTTTCTCAACAAATCAACAGGAGGCTAAGACAATGTAATTTTGCTAGTGGCAAAAAAAGAAAATTTCTAAAGAAACTTAAAAAAGTTTAGAAAATCCAGAGGTGATGAAATGTTTAATTTTTTAGATGTTTACTTTCAGGTCGTAAATATTTTTATAAGATTGCAAAATGTAATAAACTATGTTTTTGGTTAAGGAAATGTTATTCATTTCCGATCCTACAAATTGTATGGCCACTGTTATCAAAGAGAGTTAATTTGTATAAAAACGAAGATGTTGCAACACATTTTAATGTAAAACTTGTTAATGTTACATATTTAATTTAAAATGTAGAATACAAAGTATATCCTTATAACATGTAGCTACAGTGTTTTGGATAATAAATGCGTGGCCTTATTATCCAATAAACGGTGGCATCTGCTGAGCGTGCGCTCCGTTGCCGATTGATATAATTTTTCGTAGCTAAAAAAGTAATTCTTTTATCGAAATCCAACCGATACTACAGTTAAATTAGAACCTTTCCCTAAAACTTTCCCGCAGGTCTCATAAACCTGACCAAATAATACGTGATTTGGTAGCCGATTAACTTTTTTGTGTTAGTATGAAAAAGTTTGAAGTTTGATCTGTGGTTGAATGGTTTTTAATTCAAATAAATTAATAAAATTTAAATCATAAGCATCCTATGTTAATAGTCCAAGACTATGCAAAGTTTCAGGAATTTTTATCAGTTCTTACTATTAAAAATTACAATTTTATTAGAGCGACGTCACTGCTCGATTATGGTCGCAAGGCATGTTTGCCCCCAAGGTGACGTCACGATACCCCTCCCCCGCACCGCCTGCAGCCGGCTACGATGCGCAGTAGCACACCTTATTTACTTCCACCATGGGCCAAACTACCGAATTTATTTCCCACAGTTTTACGAGATTCCTAAGCTTAAAAAATATTAAATTTGACACTTGTTCTGTTTTCTTTTTTGTTATGTAAGGGAATAGCCAAAAGTCGAAATAATTTTAGCGATCCAAACATTAACCCCCAAATTGCTTAGGGTAGTCCAGTAAGTTTGGCCTGTTTAAAATGTAAGTTACCCAAATTTGAATTGGTTTCAGGTGTATGGTAATCTTCAGAAAAGTGGTGCTTGGAACAGGAATTTTGACTAGTGTCTCGGCCCTTTTCTACTTATCTTATTCAACAATGGCATGGCGTTCCCATGGGCGCTCAAATTTAGATCTAGTTAAAAACCTTAGAGGTGAGCTCATACAGTCTAATGCAACTGATGATTTAATACCACATTTATCAAGCTTGTGGCAACTTGAATGAGTTGACAAAAGAGTTCAATCAATCAATCAATCAATAAATCTTTACACAATACATACAAAACAAGTGTACATGAATGTGTCATCAACCTAAAAACTACTTCACATAATTTAACCTACTAGTTATGTATCTAAGTGGCCCAGCAGTTTAACTTGCCTAACTAAACTTAGCTTGGTTAATTCAGGCTATATCCATTTACCTAACTTAAGTCTTATTTTTAAATTCCATAATAAGGCATAGGCCTACATATTAATTCCTAACAAACACAATTAACTTAGCACACATCAACCATCCACAATATCGTGTAGGCCTGAATTACTACTTATCAATAACTTAAAGTAAAATGAATCCACATCAAATTAATACTTAAATTAATTTAATCCATTTTTTTCTAAAACCTATTTATCAGTTGATTAAAGAGTGAGAGAGTAATTAATTATTGATAAAATATTGGACGGTCAATTAATCTGGCAATTTAACAAATTTAATTTTAGCTCTGTGGGACATGGTTTTGATTTATTTTATTCTCGTGATGTGTGCCCAGTAACCAGTAGTTCTATTTATTAATTTGGCTGGTTTGTTTTTATCTTGTTCCTTTCTCTTCTTTTTCTTAGCTTAAGTATTTGAAGACTAGCCTGTTTATCTTTTTTAAAACATATGCCACTTTGTTTGTAGCCAACAAGGTTATACACAGCGATGATGTGGAAAACGTCTTGGCCCAGGTTGACAGAGGCAAGTACGTAACTCACAATCCGTACATGGACGCGCCACAGAGTATTGGCTACGGTGTCACCATCAGCGCTCCTCACATGGTAAAGCTGATTTTGAGCTAAATTAACTTTTAGCAACTAACTTAGACCTAGGCTAAATGACTTTTTAAAAGTTTGATTGGATTGAAAATATTGTTATTGTTCTTTTAAATACAATTCAATATATAATTTTGCACTGAAGTTGTACATAATGTTATTGTATCTGAACTCTAATGGGCCCAGTGGTGGATCCAGCCAGCCCCCCCCCCCCTCGGACATAAAAAATGTTATACTATAGGGTAGGCCTAACATGTAATAAGTCTGGCCTACACTCTTAGCAATTAATAAGGCCTACTTAACTGCCAGAAATTGACAAATTTATGTATTTTCCCTCGTAACTTAGGCCTAGGTACTTAACCCTGCAAGTGTATTCCACTTTAGTAGCTTTTATTTTGAGGAAGCAGTCACATTCGACTTAAAAAAGGACAATTTGCCTACTTCAGAATGCGTTGCACTAGATCCTCTCCAGTCCATATGAACTAACTAGATTGAATTCAGTGTGACCGTAAAGTGAAATTCTAAGCTTTATTCCATAACCTGTCTTAAGATTACCACAGTTTAGTTGTCCCCATATTGAATGGTTCTGGCATTGACATTAAATCATACGTAGGCTATGTGGGATTTTCATCCTATTTTAAATTGTGAAGCTCATTTTGGCTGTTTTCAAGGATAAATTAATTTATATAACCCAATATTATTAATAGTCAATGAACTTGGGTTAGTGAGGTTTGAGAGTGTTGACTAAATGTTTTTTTCTCAATTTCTTTTTATGGGAAATTACTTTATTTGGTCAAAATACTAATGGCTAAGTAATGGTTTTGTAATGGATCGTTTTATTTGGTTAAGAGTTCAAATAGGTTAAAAATAAAATGGAACAAATAACAATCAATAAATTGCCATCTACATAAACCGGTAGGATCTATATCTAACCTTAAAATTGTCTTCAACACCATCTCCCGCGATTACGTAGACAACGCTATCCTCTCGGCGATTTTGGCTATTCCTGTGGCGGATTTGAGAGCATCTCCCATGTACACCTCTCTCGTTATCCTTTCCTGCAATCCGGACAATACCCTGAACACCTACCTGGGTAAAAACTTGAAAACAGGACAATTGCTGTCCCATATATCTGAGAAAATTAATACTCACCAATATAAATTAAGTCTATTTTTTCCTAATGTGTAGCCTTGTTGTAGTTCATAAATCTGATCTTATTAGCTATAAAACTAGTAGTACGCTTATTCTGCGCGTAACGGGATGAGTGAACATGAGCGCAATAATGAAAGAGTCCACCCACACCTAGCATACTTACCGGTGTCACTGGTGAACACAATAATGTTATTTGTATGGGCAAATCAACCCATGAGTCGGGGCAAATAATGGTGAGTCGGTGGCTCAGTCGGTAGCGTCACGCGGACTTCGGGCCCAAGGCAGCAATGTCGTGGGTTCGGATCCTGGTCACTGCCACTAAATTTTATCAGTACAGTTCACCTTTGTACCGTACCGGCTCACCCCTTGCTTTGCTGTAAACGATCCACGCACGGGCACTTAGTCTATGTGGACGGGCTAATGCAAGGTTAAAAGAGGCTGTCAACCTCTTAAAAAAACCAAATCTCAGTCAACAACAATCCTAACTTCTCGTCCATTAATTAACCAAAGTCATTGGTAATATACGTAATGTATTTCCTGTTTCCCTCCCTTCCCATAGCATTTTTAGAATTGCAGATGCATTATCTAACTGCCACCAACGGTTCCCACACTCCGCACTGCTCGCCTCATGCTCGATACTGTACATTATTCTAATTATCACAAAGGGTTTCTACACTCCGGAATGCTCGCCTCGACTACTTCCTTCACCACTTCCTACGTCGTAGACCTGTTTCCCTCCCTTCCTATAGCATTTTAGAATTTCAAATAGATTAATTTAACTTTCACAAAGGGTTCCCACACTCCGGACTGCTCACCTTGACTACATCCTTCACCGCTTCCTATGTCGTGGATCTGTTTCCCTCCCTTCCTACAGCATTTTAGTATTGAATGTATATTAATCTAACTGTCACAAAGGGTTTCTACACTCCGGACTGCTCGCCTAGACTACTTCCATCACCGCTTCCTGCGTCGTGGACCTGTTTCCCTCCCTTCCCATAGCATTTTAGAATTGCAGTAACACTAATCTAACTGTCACAAGGGGTTTCTACACTCCAGAATGCTCGCTTCGACTACTTCCATTACCACTTCCTACGTCGTGGACCTGTTTCCCTCCCTTCCTATAGCATTTTAGTATTGCAGGTATATTAATCTAACGGTCACAAAGGGTTTCTACACCCCGGACTGCTCGCCTCGACTACTTCCATTACCACTTCCTACGTCGTGGACCTGTTTCCCTCCCTTCCTATAGCATTTTAGTATTGCAGGTATATTAATCTAACTGTCACAAAGGGTTTCTACACCCCGGACTGCTCGCCTCGACTACTTCCATTACCACTTCCTACGTCGTGGACCTGTTTCCCTCCCTTCCCATAGCATTTTAGAATTGTAGTTACATTAATCTAACTCTCACAAAGGGTTTCTACACTCCAGAATGCTCGCCTCGACTACTTCCATTACCACTTCCTACGTCGTGGACCTGTTTCCCTCCCTTCCTACACCATTTTAATATTGCAGTTACATTAAGCTAACTGTCACAAAGGGTTTCTACACTCCAGAATGCTCGCCTCGACTACTTCCCTTACCACTTCCTACGTCGTGGACCTGTTTCCCTCCCTTCCCATAGCATTTTAGAATTGCAGTTACACTAATCTAACTGTAACAAAGGGTTTCTACACTCCAGAATGCTCGCCTCGACTACTTCCATTACCACTTCCTAAGTCGTGGACCTGTTTCCTTCCCTTCCTATAGCATTTTAGTATTGCAGGTATATTAATCTAACTGTCACAAAGGGTTTCTACACTCCGGACTGCTCGCCTTGACTAATTCCATTACCGTTTACTACGTCGTGGACCTGTTTCCTTCCTTCTTATAGCATTTTAGTATTGCAGGTATATTAATCTAGCTGCCACAAAGGGTTTCTACACTCCGGACTGCTCGCCTTGACTACTTTCTTTACCGCTTCCTACGTCGTGGACCTATTTCCCTCCCTTCCTATAGCATTTTATTATGGCAGATACATTAATCTAACTGCCACAAAGGGTTCCCACACTCTGGACTGCTCGCCTCGACTACTTCCTTCACCACTTCCTAAGTGTCGTGGACCTGTTTCCCTCCCTTCCCATAGCATTTTTAGAATTGCAGATACATTATTCTAATTGTCACAAAGGCTTCCCACACTCCGAACTGCTCACCATGACTACTTCCTTCACCACTTCTTACATCGTGGACCTGTTTCTCTCCCTTCCCATAGCATTTTAGTATTGCAGGTATATTAATCTAGCTGCCACAAAGGGTTTCTACACTCCGGACTGCTCGCCTTGACTACTTTCTTTACCGCTCCCTACGTCGTGGACCTGTTTCCCTTCCTTCCTATAGCATTTTATTATGGCAGATACATTAATCTAACTGCCACAAAGGGTTCCCACACTCCGGACTGCTCGCCTCGACTACTTCCTTCACCACTTCCTAAGTGTCATGGACCTGTTTCCCTCCCTTCCCATAGCATTTTTAGAATTGCAGATACATTATTCTAATTGTCACAAAGGCTTCCCACACTCCGGACTGCTCACATTGACTACTTCCTTCACCACTTCCTACATCGTGGACCTGTTTCTCTCCCTTCCCATAGCATTTTTAGAATTGCAGATAAATTATTCCAACTGTCATAAAGGCCCCCCACACTCCGCAGCGCTCGCATTGACTACTTCCCTCACTATTACCTTCACTACTTCGTACATCGTAGACCTGTTTCTCTATTTTTCCATAGCATTTAAGTATTACAGATACGTTAATTTAACAGTCATAAAGGTTTTCCGTACTCCTTTCTTTTCACTGCTCACCTTTCTGCTTCCTTTACCACTCTCTACGTCGGGGACCTTTCCCCCCCCCCCCCTTCGCATAGCATTTTAGTATAAAAATATACCAACATCTTTGAATATTTAATATTCAATGCCAACATTAAATTATTGGATAATATAAAAAGCTGCTTTGTTCTAAATACATACATACCTATATACTTTTAATTTAAAGGTGAATTTTAATACTGAAAATAAACGGTATATAACTGCCAACTAATATTGTTAAGTTCAATTTATTATTCTGAAAGTTGTGAAATTTAATTAGCTTAAATAACATTATTCTGAAAGCTGTGAAATTATAATGATATATATTCATAGATGCCAAACTGTTTACTCCATGAATGAAAGAGCTTAGAGTAAAAGTCGTTCTCTCTGTCTTAAGTAGACAACAAAATTGTTGGTCGCAAAACGTAAACAAATAAAAAGAAGAAGAAGGTAGCTCCTAATGTTATTCTTATGGGACAAATTAAAAAATGTGTTTTAAGTATTTTATTATTACTACTGAGTGGAATCGTCTAGAATTTTAATGGTGTCTTTACACTGGTGTCATAACTATTTGTGCAAAATTTGAACGCTATAAGTGCAACGGTTCTTGAGTTTTAGGTGCGAACACACACACACACACACACACACATACTCCAGCGGACAACTTTTCTCCGACTCCGCTATACACGATACATAGATTCGTTCACTTCGTTCACTCATCTATTAATTAATAACATTTATTATTGCTAGAAGAGAAATTCGACCTCTGGTTTTTGAGTAATCTGGGTCACACAAACAATCCTAAGTTTTGACAAGGATATCTACAATGAATTATGCAAATTATGATTCCAATAGCTTTTTAGACACCCAATAATACCAAAATGTGAGAAATGTGATTGCTATAAATATACAAGATGTTAAACAACTGAAAATAAAACTCTAAAAAAATTGCCGTAATGATATCAGGATCCTTCTATATTCTTTACCTAACTCACAATACAAATTATAGGCTGCAATATTTTTTTCTTTAAACAATATACTGGGAAGTATAATTTTTAACTTAAAAATGACCATTAAAGTTAGCGATTTTATTTATATGCATACAAACACCATGTGACCCACCATTTCAAGAGTGACCCAAATTACAAGTAGGCCTAATGTAGGTGACGTGACTGACATTACACGTAATGCAGGTAAGGCGACTGACATTACACAGTGACTCAAACGCATAAATGGGGAACTTCTGTGTATTAAACAAAACTTTTGTTATCCTTTATTATAAAAGTGTCACCTTTTCATTATTATCGTCTGCTAATAACACTAGGCGAGGTTCGTAATTTTCTCGCAAATCTAGGAGCCAAATTCTCACCGCCCACATTGTTGTATAATCCCGCCCATCATCAAAATAGGTAAAGTAAAGAAAGTAAACAGAAATAATTTTCAAATATATTGTGGGTTACGGAAAAATTAATTCTCGACATTGAAAACTCATATGAGAAGTAATTTGGGTCACATAATTCACCAAAAGTAATGTAGGTCATACATCAGATTCTCAGATTTTGTGACCCAAATTACAGTGACCGACATTAGCATTTTCACTCTCGTCATTTACTAAAATGGAACATAGAGGCCATGGTTCCCTTTACTGGCCATAAGTTTGGTTAAGTATGCGTCTGTCTTATATTTTTGTAGTTTTCAATAAGCTGTTTACCTTATTGCAACAGTTATTATTAATACCGATCATTACACAAAAACTTAACACTTACAAAACTGATTTTAAATCAAGACTTTCCGTATAAACTGGAAAGCCTGGCATCACATTACGTCTAACCTACTTCAACCACAGTCAACAACGAACTGAGAGAGGCCGAAATATTGATCTGCCCGGAGTCGATAGGGTTGAAAGACCTGACGAGAACTCAACTGGTTTCGACCCTCGAACCCAGCATTACATTCACGGCTAGGGACACGACTTTTAACGATCGTTATTGCCAGTATAATTTCATTAAAAAGCCTGTTTGGTAATTTTTGTTAATATTTTAACATTATAAATTAATTGAAACCAAATATTTAAACTTTTTTGCCTTAATATTACTGAAAATATAAGTTAAAATGTAGGGGACAGGGTTTTTGCAATAAATATAAATATACCCATTTTGGAACTTTTCAAACACTTTTTTCTTTACTACATACGGTAATATTAAAATTGGGAAACATAAACATTTCTATTCAAAGGAAGGTATAGTAAATTATTTAAAAACTATTTGGAGCAGGAATAGATGGCGGAAGAGGTATAAATAGCTAGGGACAGCAATTGTCCTGTTTTCAAGTTTTTACCCTACTACGGTTGCAATTTGCAAAGATGTTAATACTGTTCTATGAAATGGCGACCATACAAAGTAGGTATTTTAAGCCAAGTATGAATGGAGATGAGTGGCGCAATCTTGTAGTATTGTTAGTGACTAAGGCCGACATTCCTTAGACACAGCTGTTAATTAATAGCCCATACAGCTAATGTCATCATTGTACATTGTGTTATGTGATCGCAGCAAAATCTTCACGTCCTCCAAGATCACGGGGACGTAATTCGTCATCCATGATCACGTTCAAAGTATTGCATAACAAGTACAACTAACAACCATTAAACCGAAACGTTTTTTACCAATTTAGGTTTTTTTCAAATACCAGTAAACGGAACCAACTTCAAAAACGGGTTTTATTTTGAACCCTCATAAAGTTCACACATTTTTGTTTATATAGACCTACCTATTACCTATGGCGAAATTTCTTCCACACAATATGTAAACATTTAAGTGCGCCCCTCCCCCTCAACAATAGTAAATGATAAACCATAACAGTTTGCTATAACTTTTAATAGGGAAGGGAAAGTCATTCCATCAGTTTGGCTTAGTAAAAAAGTTTAAATATGTTTGACTGAAATCAGTATTTAAATTAGCCAATCTGGCAGTGGCTCACATCAGATTCTGACTAAAAACCTGGTGACAACTTTAACATGGGAATGGAATGTCTAAATCTATGCTATTGGTGCTATTGGTACCGTATTGGTTTAATACCCACAGTAGGCTATGCTTCTGGACAGTTATTGTTTATTTTTTGTTACTGTTACCTAAATAGTTATTGTTTACCTAAATATAATTTTCCCTCAGTCTAAGATAACATATTCACTCATGTTTTCAGCATGCATATGCTCTGGAGCTGCTGAGGGACAGACTGACGGAGGGAGAGAGAGCACTAGACGTGGGCTCTGGCTCAGGTTTTCTGACCGTCTGCATGTCACTAATGGTAGGAGAGACCGGACAAGCTGTAGGGATAGACCACATACCTGAACTGGTCAACTACAGCAAGGACAACGTGATGAAGGACAAACCTGAACTGCTCACCTCTGGACGAGTCAAACTTGTAGGTACGTCTCATGTAAACAGCCATATCATGATGTCGGGATAGACCACATACCTGAACTGGTCAACTACAGCAATGACAACGTGATGAAGGACAAACCTGAACTAATCACCTGTAGACAAGTCAAACTTGTAGGTACGTCTCATGTAAACAGCCATATCATGATGTCGGGATAGACCACATACCTGAACTGGTCAACTACAGCAATGACAACGTGATGAAGGACAAACCTGAACTAATCACCTCTGGACGAGTCAAACTTGTAGGTACGTCTCATGTAAACAGCCATATCATGATGTCGGGATAGACCACATACCTGAACTGGTCAACTACAGCAAGGACAACGTGATAAAGGACAAACCTGAACGGGTCCGCGGAATTGGCTAACTCTGGAACTCGCTAACCCCATGTTAAACGCCCTATCTTCAAATTTGGTCGATGAGAGGAACTCGCTAACTTGTTCGGTTTCGGAATTGGCTAACTCCGGAACCCGCTAACCCACTCTAGAGCCGGGTTAGCGAATTCCGTCCTCGCACGGAAGTCGCTAACTCGGTCCCTCGGCGGAACTCGCTAACTCCCAATCAGAAGCCTCGCAAGCCGTCCGATGGGAGCCAAACACGAATATTTTTGGCCAGTGTTGCCGAAAGTATAGTACCTATATCGAATCGGTACCATAATGTCGTATCCTACGATTATTAGGAGTAAGAGCAACGTAGTCGATAAAATAAATATATTTAGAAGTATGTTTAACATTATTCCTATGATTATTATTGTGGAAAATGCATTATAGTCTTACCATAGACTAACCAACACAAGTAAACTCTACATCCCATTGTAAACTTTGAAGCTCGTTTTTCGTGTCTAGTTCATGTTCGGTGACACTGATCGCTAGTGTCGACAAAAGTAAAGTGTGTTTCTATTATTTTATAGTTAACTTCATGATTTGTTTTTTAATGTTTGGTTATATAACTAGGGGACGTGTTATTAGTTGTGATTAGAACGTTTTATTTGGTTAAACGAGGTTTTAAATTACTGAAAACAAGAAACAATTGTAAACAAAACACGACCTCTAAAGACAGTGCACCGGACAGAACTAACAATAAAACTGTCTTCAGCTGATCCATTAGGATGAGAAATCTACTAAGGGAGTATGTTTTATCTATGACTAGCTGTAACCCGCGGGCTTTGCCCCGTTTAACTTCTTAATTTTCAAGATTATCTTGTTCGCATGGCTCTATCACGTCCTGGTTGAAGTTTGTTCGCTACGCTCACTCACCTTTAGGTTGGAGCTCGTTCGCTACGCTCACTCACCTTAAGGTTGGAGCTCGTTCGCTGCGCTCACTTGCCTTCAGGTTAGCTCGTTCGCTACGCTAACTCGCCTCCAGGTTGAAGTTCGTTCGCTACGCTCACTCACCTTTTGGTTGCAAATTAGCTGTTGTCATAAATGTAAAAGAAATAATAGTGTTGCACCCTGTTGGTAATCCTTGTAACTTTAATGCTATTGAACATCACAGAACAGAACCAACTTGTTTAATTGAAACAGCTGTTAAGATTCAATAATTCCATTTCTCATAAGGTTAACATGGGAAACTCCAGAGCCACTGGGGCGGAGCCCGAAAGGATTTTTGAAATAAGAATATGCCTATATGTTAATCGGGAATGTGAGCTATCATCATGCCAAATTTCAGCCCAATCCGACCAGTATTTTTCGCGTTCACTTGTCACAAACATACATCCATACATCCATACATCTATACATCCAAACTTTCTCATTTATAATATTAGTAGGATAGTAGCTTATTGGTATGCAAAAAGATAAAAATGCACATTTAATTTGGATCTATTACATGTTATGAAATATCTATTTTCGAAGTCCGCCATTTGTTTCTTTTATTCGAATAAATACCATTTTGTAAATTTCTGCAAATAAAATTATTGAGTTCGTATTTTATATACTGGGCTTGTAACCTTGAATCATAAATCAAAATAAAATTTACACGTTAAACGTAATTAAAGAATTACATTGTAGTGGAAATGTATTTTTAAATAGAGCTATTGAATTTAAATAAATATTTATCAATACATTATAAAGTGGTAGGCCTAATGTATTCATGGATTGCATTAAAAGTTAGTCTATGCATAAATACAACTTGTAAATTTCTTTTATCGTAGGCTATTAGTGTAGACCCGGGGTCATCCTCTTAATTTTGTTGAATTAATATTAATTTTACGTCTTTCAGTAGGCCTACTTTTTAAAAGTCTGGAGTTTTTCTCTAGGCTGATTCTAAATAGATGCAGGCGTTCTTGTTTGTTACAATTCTATGAATTGGTGGTCATAGCTAAAATTACTTAATCTTATCCAAAAACAAAGCTATTGTCTATTGTGAAGCTCAGTACTGGGCAACGGTGAACCGAGCAATGGCTTGGTATAGTTTATATCGATTGTGAAAGCAATATAAAGGAAACCCAACACTCAAATCAGGAAAATCCGTCAATTCGTTTATTAAGAATCGTGAATTAAAATTACCGTGTCACGTTTTATTATATGAATATTATATCTTTTACTATTTTTTACTAGTGGTGCTTAGGTGTACAATCTAAAAACGGTTTTATAACATGTAACATAAATCTGTTTTCCGTGTTTAAGAACTTGCGTGTATTTTAGCTTAGTTTTGTAGAGGTTTAATTATTTAGTACCAATTAAACTGAAATTTCAATATTTTTCATATTCTATTATTTTCTTTTATACTGATGGCATTTATATTTAAGATCGAAATCATAAACATTTAACTGGCCATTGTACAGTTTAATAAAAAAAAACACTTTTTCATGATTTTTTAATTGTCTTTGAATTACTTTGGGATAGTTATCTGTTAAAAGTGGAATTGATAACAAAAATCAATAATATTTACTGTATCTTTATTGACACTGACATTTTGAAATACGGCAGTGTACGATTATTTTGTCGTACAAGGTTGGCAACGCTCCGTGCAGTGGGCGCGGCCGGGTTAGCGACTTCCAGAGTTAGCGAATTCCGCCGCTAGACAAAATCGAGTTAGCGGGTTCCGGAGTTAGCCAATTCCTGACTGAGACGGTTAGCCAGTTCCAGAGTTAGCCAGTTCCGACACACGACCGAGTTAGCGAGTTCCTGAGTTAGCCAATTCCTACGTCTCACCTGAACTAATCACCTCTGGACGAGTCAAACTTGTAGGTACGTCTTATGTAAACAGCCATATCATGATGTCGGGATAGACCACATACCTGAACTGGTCAACTACAGCAAGGACAACGTGATGAAGGACAAACCTGAACTGCTCACCTCTGGACGAGTCAAACTAGTGGGTACGTCTCATGTAAACAGACTTATTTTGATGCGATGATCCTTTAGTGTGAAGCCCAAGCTGAGTACCAAGAATAGAAGAGTAAGGACTTGCAATAAGTTGAAAAATGTCCTCCACAAAAAGTGGCATGGTTTTATAACTTCAGGTGTGGCTCAATCACAGGTACATGTGTACTACTACAACCATCTGCTGTTTAAAAAGCTAAAATATAATTTTTTAATTCCAAATGTTTTCTCTGAAAATTTTTGTTGTAGGCCTTAATAATAGTTTTCTAAACTGACCTCACCTAATATAAATAAAACTACCCTTTTATCCCCGTCTGATGCATTATAATCACAGATGGAATATTACTCGATCCATAAATATCCTATATCAGGATTTACTCACTGAAGATAGCCTAGTCTTGAAAGGGGTAATCTACCACACACATAGAAAATGGCATTGAACTATCTAACAAAGGAAAATATTATATTATACCTAGGGGTCTGCGGTACAGAAAATTTAAGGTCGGTACGGTTCGGTACGGTACAATATTTTGTACCTCGGTTCTCGGTACAAAATCGGTACGGTACGCGGCTACCCGTATTTTTGCGGTTTTCTTCTCAGAACTGTATCCAAACCATTATTTTTAACTTTAATACATAGACATTACTATGAAAATGGATAGTATCCTACATTCATGGTTTTCTAACAACAATTACTGTACCACATATTATTAAAACAAAACCTTTTACTAACGAGGATTGTGTCAAGAAAAATCACAGTTGAGATAAAGGCTTTACCTATTTTACTCTGAGATACTTTGAATAGCCATGATAAAGTAGTTTAAAAATAGGATGAGAGTTTTTATGAATAAACATGTTTGAAACATTTATTGACAAGATAATTTCACAAAACTGATAAATTATTTCCAACCAACACAATGTCTAGTTGTTTTTATTTTTTATTTTAAAAACATATAAAAGCATTCAGTAGAAGACAGTGTAGTTTTGCCAGCTGTTCACAGCAGATGACAATGAAAAACTGGAGGTTATGATGAAGTAATGGCAAAGACCGTTTTTTTTTATCAGCTTCAAAACTACTATTATGCTATTATTATTATTATTATTATTATTATACTATTATTATGCTATTATACTACTAATATGCTTCATGCTACTTATTTTATAATCTAAGTATTTTGACGATTGCAATGCATGTTATATTATGTTAAAAGCAATAAAGACATTTCATTTCATTTCATTTCATTTCATTTCATTTCACTAGTTAAGTTATAAGATGGATACAATTCTTGCAAAGTTTTTTTCTGAAACTAAAATTTGGATTATCACAGAGTAAGATTTGATGTTGGGCAATTAGACTTTATAACTGTGTAAAAGGTGTGTATCCCTGAATTTATAAATTGCATTCTACACTTATTCACTGCCAAACATAATTCAGTAGAACCTTGATGAACCGAGAATTACACTAGCCTACATAACTTCATTACCCCAAGTAAAATACCAAGATAATTTTTATAATTGTATTTGAATCGTATAATCTTAGTTTGTTAAAAATGGATTGTATGTTCAACAATAATTGCAGTCCATTATTGTTAAGCAGTATGGTCCCAAATTATTGTTTTTGATTTTGAAACATCACAGTTCATTTGACAAAATTATAGTTGAAGCAGCTCAATGTCAAGTCACGCACGCTTGTGCAATAGTTTGTTTACATGCTTTCTCCAGACCACGGGGGAGGGGAGGGTCTGATAAGCCGTCTATTGTTCACCCCCAAGAAGGTCCGACCCTCATTAGTGCCGCTCGGCTGCACTCAGTGGGGAACCCAATACCACAAATCAATCTTTTAAATGAATACAAATATTTGGTAATAATTGTTTTATTAATATTCACCTTGAAATTTCAATAAATTTGGTGTAAAATTTGACAAAAATCTGCCATTTAGACCGATTATTAATACAATACCAAATACCAATAAAGTAGTACCGTACATTCATTGGTAATTAAATAATAGGTAAAAATTTACCGATTTTCGTCAAGTTTTACCCCCTGCTGTGCGCTATGTCACAAAAGCTGATAACGACATGGGTGATTAGTAACCATGGCAACTTGTTGAATGCGTGATGAAGGGAAACCCAAGAAATAGAAGAACAAAGAGAAAGAATGACGTTGTTATCTTTATACCCTTTTTACAATTTCCGTTATTGTTATCTTTATGTAAGATTTTATGATTTTGTTTTATAGGTTTATAAAATAATTCTTTTTAACTACGGGAACATCAATTTATAATTTATCAACGTGCTTCTCTTCTGAAACAGCAATACCGGATGCATAATAAAGGTCAATGGCCTAAAATATCACGATTGTGCAATATTGTATTTTGATGTTGTAATTAAAATTACGACAAAAGTTTGTATATATCCATGGTCGTCAATAGAAAGATAAAATATCCATAACAAATATTTAATTTATAAAATAAGATTGTAGATTTGTTACAAGTTTAATATGTAGCCATAAACAGTTTTATGGCAGTAGGCAATGGCCAGCGGCAAATTCAATATTCACGAAAATACTGATTAAGTTAGAGATAACATTTAACAGTCATCATAAAACTATTATTTTTATGATAAAACAGAATTGGGGAAAGTCGTAAAGAAATAAAAGTGATAAAACTCAACAGTTCTTGGAAGTACTTCAATACAACAATTATTGTCGTGATAAAATGTTAATGGATTTGGGACTGCTAATGGGTTTTTTATTGCATCATCACGCTAGTAATAAATTATGAAGATCGTAAACAAACATCTGATAAGACTTTTATGTGCTCGGAACCAACTGCCGTTGACTACGATAGTAAACTGAAAGTAATTTATTATTATAATAGGCTGTACCGAACCGAATTTGTACCGTGTAAAATGCTGTACCGAACCGATGACGGTAATTAAGCTTGTACCGTACCGTACCGACTTTTTCGGTGCACCGCAGACCCCTAATTATACCACAAAATAAACACATTTTTGTATTCATTCTACTTTGATGTTGATGTTACAGTTGGTGACGGCAGGTTGGGATACCCTGAAGAAGCTCCCTACAATGCTATCCATGTTGGTGCTGCGGCCCCCACTCTACCACAATCTGTGAGTATGGTTTATTCTTGCAGCTTCTGTAACCTGTGCTAAGTTCTGTCATCTTATAGACTTTTTTCAAGGGAGGGATGATTCTAGAATTTGCACACAAAAGCTGTTTTGCATTGTTTTTGTTACAGGAGCACACTGATTTTGCTTTTAGGCTTTTATTTTGGTTAAACATATTGTATGGGCCCTCATTATTCACCAAATGTAATACTGTAATGTAGGCCTAACCATTGTACCTGCAAAACATTAGAACTTGTTTTACCTAGTTTTATATAATACCTGTTCGTAAAAATGAGTCATGGTTTAGGATAGTGACTTTGTCAGTTTTTAGCATTTAGTACCTGGATAGGAAATGAATCACTAAAACCACAGTATAAAATTGTTGCTATAACTTAAGTATATTTTTGGTGGTTTATCATTAAATTCAATGAATTAGCATTTAATTACTCATCTTTTTTATTTTTATCAGGACACTATAGGCCTAAACCCGCTATTTTTAAAATAATATATAATGATGGTTTTATTTTGTTTTGTTTTCCTTTGGGGATATAGCCTCTAGATCATTATTGAACATAGTTTTGTATATATATATTATTTACCCACCCTCTTTACCTACTGTCATCTCTTCTACTTCTACTAGATAAAGTTATAGTAATTTGTGTTTAGATAATTTTCTTACAACAGGATGACCTTCAATTTGGTATCGCTAAAGTAAAGTTTATTCACAGTATGACTTTAACTTGGTGGTCAGGGAGGGAAATATGTTGAAGGAGCAAAGGATTAAAGAATGAAACTTGTTTGGAAATTGAAGTAAAAGGATGAAGGACTAAAACTTCAATTGTAAGTTATTTTATATTACACAATAACATCAATAATGTTTACGTCATTCATAAAACGCATGACTGGACTTGTGGGAATTCATGTTTTCATTCTACCTAGCCAGATGTATCTACTCATATGTTGTCATAAGGATTCTTGGAAGCATTGTTCATCACTATTGGGGAAAATTTCTGCAATAATCCTTGAAATTTACCATCACGAATATTTAACTCCAAACATTGAAATGTAGCTAACTGGTTTTTGGTTTATAAATTAGTCAGAACTGAGTAGACAAGATGGGAAAATTCATGTTTACTGTCTGTTTCATATCTAGCCATAATTATGTACCCTACAGTTGGCATGTTATTAGACATTGTGTAATTTTTTCAATATTTTGACATTTAGTTTGATGAAGCCAATCCTACTTTTTCTAGTAAAATTCATATAATGTGGGGTCAGTTTGAGTTTTACAGCTCGTGACACCTAAGCTTGCACTTGGCCTAGCGCGGGCAGTGTAGGCGGGAGGAGGGTGGAGGTAGGGAAAAGACCGGACTGCAAACATTTCCGCTGCCTCACGGGGTTGACTCCCCTAGTATTATGTACTTCAGCGCCTTCAGATGGGTCACGAGGACAGTTGATGCAACCCGCATAACGGGACATAATGTTTTTGAAATAGGTACTAGTAGAGATCGGCCAAGTGCCAGCTTAGATGTCACGAGCTGTACTGACATAATGAATAATTCCTAAAAAATTAGGTGAATATGAAAGTGGATAGGCCTAGGCTGCTGATAAATAAATAGGTATCAACTAAATTACTAATAGACAAAAGTATGCCTCAATTGTACAAAGAGAATTGGACTGATTTAATTGTAAATACAATTTAAATCACAGAATTTTACAAGGCCCTGAAATTTAGTAGGATATAACAGTTAATTTAATTTTTGTATCAATGAAAAGAAAAATTAGAATCAATGGTGAAAAAACAATAGGCTACAGTTTATTCTATTTAAAAAAATATACCTTTAAAGTGCACTTAAATTCACTTTCATATTATTTACAATCAATTCCAGGTTTAAAAAATGCAAATAATTTCCCCTATAATAACTGAAAAGCCACAGATGTATGTTTTAGAACTTGTTGACATTCTTAATGTTGATGGTATGCTTCCACAGTCAAAGTAAATTGGATGTTGCATCTTAGTCTTGACGACCGCCTCGATAAATGTTCAAAAACAGTAGTTGACATTTTGGATTTATTACAGTACTTCATCTTTGTCGAGTTGAACTGTATTCTTCCCAAAAGATCGATTGATGCAATGCTTCTGAAACATCGGCTGCTATTTTTTTCCAATTCAATGACTTGGTCTTCTGGAGACCCAGATTTGTCAGTTGTGTTACCGTTCTATAAAAAATGTGGCACCTTCAAGATAACAATGAAAGTCAAAGTGAAAACAATAATGACCATGAAAAGACCTTTTATAAGGAATTTTCTGTTTGTAGCTAGTGGACCAGTTGAAGCCCGGTGGTCGGCTGATTGTGCCGGTCGGCCCAGCCAATGGCGATCAGAAGTTGGAGCAGATAGATAAGAACGAGGACGGGTCTGTAACCCGGACAACACTTATGGGAGTCGTCTACGTCCCTCTGACAGACAAGGAGCGACAATGGCCTGGCAGGTGATATAGCAGGGTGTATACCAACCGGGAAAACCGGGAGAACCGGGAAATAACCTTGAATTTGAAGGGACCTGGAAAAAACCGGGAAAAAGCCGGGATTTTTGGACCGATTCCGGGATTTTTATTTTAGCCCCGGTAGAAGATTGTAGTTGTAAAATGCGTCTTGCCGCGATTGCGGGCGACGACGATGACGTTTTCGTGACCGCGGGAGACGACGATGACGTTTCCGTGACCGCGGGAGACGACGATGATGTTTCCGTGACCGCGGGAGACGACGATGACGTTTCCGTGACCGCGGGAGACGACGATGACCTTTCCGTGACCGCGGGAGACGACGATGACGTTTCCGTGACCGCGGGAGACGACGATGACCTTTCCGTGACCGCGGGAGACGACGATGACGTTTCTGTGACCGCGGGAGACGACGATAACGTTTCCGTGATCGCGGGAGACGACGATGACGTTTCCGTGACCGCGGGAGACGACGATTACGTTTCCGTGACCGCGGGAGACGACGATGACGTTTACGTGACCGTGGGAGACGACGATGACGTTTCCGTGACCGCGGGATCATCGATGATGTATACACTGCCGCGGGAAATATCCATGATTTTGCCGAAATCGCGGACGACGACGATGACGTTTCCTTGACCGCGGGTGACGACGATGATTATGTCTATACAGCCGCAGATGTTTATGATTTTGCCGAGATCGCGGACGCCGGCGATGACGTTTCTATATCTGCGAGAGGCAATGATGATGTCTACACGGCCGCGGAAGATTTTCGTGATTTGCCGTGACCACGAAAGACGACGATGATGATTTCTACACGGCCGCGTGATATGCTCATGATTTTGCCGTGATTGCGGCCGACGACGATGACGTTTCCGTGACCGCGGGAAACAACGATGACGTTTCCGTGACCGCGGGAGACGACGATGATGTAGACACGGCCGCGGGAAATATTCATGATTTTACCGAGATTGCGGACGATGACGTTTCCGTGACTGCGGGAGGCTATGATGATGTCTACACGGCCGCGGAAAATATTCGTGATTTGCCGTGACCGCGAAAGACGACGATGATTATGTCTACACGGCCGAAGATAGATGTTCATGATTAAGCCGCGATCGCGGACGACGACGATGACGTTTACGTGACCGCGGGATCAACGATGATGTTTACACTGCCGCGGGAAATATTCATGATTTTGCCGAGATCGCGCACGACAACGATGACGTTCCCGTGACCGCGGGAGTCAATGATGGTGTCTACACGGCCTCGGAACATTTTCGTTTTTGCCGTGATCGCGGTCGATGACGATGACGTTTACGTGACCGTGGTAGTCAATGATGATGTCCACACGGCCGCGGTGGATTTTCATGATTTTGCCGCGATTGTGGATGACGATGATTACGTTTCCGTGATCGCGAGTGATAATGTATACATACCGCGGGAGATGTCCAGGATTTTTCTATGATAACGTAAGACTGTGATGAGGTTTTCGTCACCGTGGGAAGCGACCACACAACCGCAGGAAATATTCAGGATTTTGCCGCCGTTGATAATGTGTTCATAAAAAATGAAGATAATATTCGTGATTTTGCTGCTATCGAGAGAGACGATGTTTCGGTGGACTTAAGTAATGATGATATTGAAAATTATTACTATAATAAGGATTATTACTTTTTCAACACTAGCTCACTGGACTTTGAAACAAATTTGATGTAAGTTTATATTGTATACTTAAGCTGCAAGTCTTAAATTGATTATTGTTTAAGTGGAACCAAACAAATACGCGGGAACCTGGAAAAACTTCGAAAAACCATGAAAAAACCTGGAAAAAACCTGGAATTTCACTTTAATAAAATAGTATACACCCTGTATAGGCTCAAATAACATACCGTAAAATAGTCTATTATGATATTGTTTGTGGTGTTTGGTTTGGGGATTGTTGTGTCAGAAAGTTTACAGGAAATAGTCTATAGACTATCTAAAAGGTAGCTCTAGTCCTGGAAAGGTTTAAATTCCTGGGTAGGAAAGGCAATTTTGAGGCCAAAGGAAACAAAAGAAATGGGTGTCCTGACAGCTATAGACACTATAGCTGTTTGTAAAACTGTCCTTAGGCCTAAGAGCCTTTAACACCGAAGGGTGGTGGAATGAATTGAGGGTTGCCATAAGGCTAAACTATGGAAGTAGCCAGGGGTAGCTACACAGAAACCCGCATAAAAAATTACTATAACAACGTTTGTTTTCTGAAACCTCTCATGTAAAAAGTTAAAAGTAAGTAACAATTTACCAACTATTTTAAATATTTTTCAGAGTTAATTATCACACAACGAGCCACTCTTGCTGTTAGTATGACTTTTATTGAGTTTGGTTAAACTTACTGCCATGGCCACTTGTACCCAAGCTGGTACTTGGCCTCGCCAACACGTTGTCGCCAGTTCTCTCAGTCCTCCGAATCTTTCTCTACTAGTCTCATCTGTTTCCATATCCTTCCGGACTTAGTCCCACCAAGCCTTTGGTCTTCCTACTGGTCTCCTTCCCCTCGGATCTCCCCTTTGTACCTTCTTTAACAAGCTCTCTCATTTCTCCTAAAGATATGGCCAACCCACCTTAGCCTTCGGCTTTTTGTCTCTCCTACAATATTGGGGTCTCGGAATGATTCTTTTAACTCTTGGTTGTGACGGATTCTCCATATTCCATTTTCACACACTGGACCATTATAGCTCTTAGAATCTTCCTGGATATGCTTCCACGGTCACTTAATGAAGAATCGTGGTCTTCTGGCGACGACTGTGTCAAAAACGTTGAAACACTAACACTCACCAACGTTTCGGCCTCGATACATAGTGCCATCTTCAGGCCGACTTGACTCCGCACAGATGAACAGAGCAGTAAACACATCAGCCCCTCTACACATTCCTGGGACGTCTAACCCCCACCCCTCCAGATATAACCTGAGACCTCTCCACTTGACTATTCATCTATACGGGGTCAAGTTGCCCTGAAGATGGCACTCTGTATCGAGTCCGAAACGTCGGTGAGTGTTAGTGTTTCATCGTTTTAGCGAATTTCCCATATAGGGAATAAGCTATTACCGTAGTACTCATGGTAAGACCTGGACGCGGGACCGATTTTTGTTTGTTTTGAGGTCCCTAGAGGCCAAAAACTCTATCCGTTAAAATTCATATATATATATATTTATATATTTTTATATATATATGTGTCCGTTAGCATGATAACTCGAGCAAAAATGATCCGATTTTGATGAAATTTGGTACAAACGTGTAAACCTACATTTATTCGAACGAGTTCGCAATCCAGCATGATCGGACCATGGGAATGGGGGTTTACGGGGGGGTTTTATGGGGTAAAATAGGTTTTTCCCATTTTTGACCCAAAAAACATAAAATTTAGCAATTTCTTTCCAAACCATTTTGTAGAGCTTAAAAAAACAAATAATTTAGTATATTGAAGCGTTATTATGCGCCTAATGGTTACGGAGAAAATTCCAAAAAATTGTAAATTTAAAATTCCCATGTTATTCTTATGGAGAATAAGTAAACTGTTGTAGTTTGCTTGTTTATGAACATATTTTGATCAAATTTGGAAAATGTTTTTATTTCTTACTAACTATTAACATTTTTACAAAAAAAAGTTTTACCCTCCCTGATGCAGCAAACCTAAGTACTTGTTAAACTAATTCTATTTAAATAGGGAATAAATGTTATATTTTTAAGTAGACATTTCAGTGTAAATCCAATCAGTCAAATGGAAATTCGCTTAGTCTGCAGGTTTGCTGCGGCGGGGTGTAAAGAAAAATAAAAACAACTCCCTCCTACTACTTTTATATATTTAAATATTGTATTTAAATATATTTGCTCCTTGCAATGCTCTCAAATGAATCTTTACAAATGTTGGTTGCCCCTGGGTTGGGAGAACTCCAGAAAATAAAAATATCAGACAGAGCTTTTTGGCAGTGGAAGCTTGATGTTATTGAAAAAATATGAGTGGGCCCTGCAAAATATAAATATTCCCAAAAGGTCCTTAGGGGACGCCCTTGGCACTGTTTGTAGTTCTTCCAAAAAAGTAATACCTTTAATGAGAGCAATTTACCAGTCTTAATTCTACACCGAATTTACTTGCTCACTACTACACTAGTGTTTAGTGTTGCACTTAAAAGGTGAATCTTTTGTAGTGGCCTATTATTTACTGAATTACCTTTTGTTTACCAATTTGATACTATAGCATATAATAAAGAACTACCAGGTTATTGAGAACTAAAAGTGAGTACAATTTGATTTATTAAGCATTATTTAAGATTTACAATGATTCCAGTTTGACAGTTTCTGATTGTGTGGTGCAATATAAAAATATGACCTTGAGTGACACAATCAGACGGAATTGATCTGTCTGAGAATGTTGAACGGATTTATTCAAAGGGGAATATTTGGCGCGGTTTCACACCGATCTCGAAGGTGTCAACGGAGGAGTGGTATTTAATTTAATTTGAGACGACCAGTGCCAAACAAGTCCTGTTCGTTGGCCAACGATGTAAATATGAAGGTCGATTCTCGAAGGTCAACTGATTAAACAGTATTGCGTTTAATCGTAATAATATTTACTGGAACGTTGCTTATTGTTTTATAGCTAATTTGGCACTTTGGCGGTTCGTCTATATGCAAACTGGCACAGCCTCCGATAACACTTCCCGATTCAGCCGAACCAGCAACCTAATCCCTCCTTTGATATTAAATGATTCCCCCAAATTAAAATGCTGATTGTGACACTCTGTAACGAATTGTACTTTTAATAATGACTCTGTGCAAAATTCAAATACTATATAAAAATATTACAAAGCAACTCTGAATTACCCTATAAAAACATTTTCATATATTTATTCTTAATACTATAGAAATATCACAGTCTAATAAATAAAGCGGATTGCAACAATATGAATGGATTTAAAAATCAACAAATTGTGATCGAACCTATGAACATGTGCTTATTCTACATGAATTGACAAAACAAGACAGGAAAATTTACCAAAGTGCGACTCACTGAAAATCTCAATTTAACAAATAAATACACAAAATTACTTACAGTTTGGACGTCCACAAATATAACACAAAGGGGAAAGGATGGGAAAACGTAACTAGCCGGTATACTACAACACGCGATCAATTGAACTCGTGAATCGTTTGAGAAATTTTCAAATGGCGGACTGCGTTTGGCCGGTAACGAACTTTTGCACTTTTTGACAAAAACACTGATTCTAATTTCCGATCGCGAGGCAATTATATCCCTTAGGGATATAGGCTGAACGACTTTAAGGAAATTTAAGATTGGCCGACCAAACGCCGCGAAATGAATTTAATTTCCACGAACGATAAACAATTTTACCGAACTAGCTACGATGAGACTTGGGTAAGGACTGAGTACTGATTTAAACAGATGGCCGCCCGGCTAAACCTTATCCCCTCTCCGTCTTTAGTGCGTGGTGCATTCTGGTCTATACTGATCTATTGTTGAAACCAGCTGACTGTTCTTCGCATTAACCTGTATTGATTTGTTGCCTTTTACAACAAAATCGGTACAGGGGGTATTTGATATAGTCGCCGCCACAAGACCACGATTCTACATAGTCTCTTAGAACTTTATTCTCAAAGGTTATAATCTTTTTTTTGTGTTTTTTTTTCAGGATCTAATTTTCTCCATATAAAAGTTCTGGTTCAGTTATTGTTTTGTAGATTTTAATTTTTGTTTTCCTTGATAACAACTTTGATTTAATTAGTTTTCCACATGCATACCAATTTTTAATTGCTGCATTTATCCTATTCTGAATTTCTATGTCTTCTGTATTTCTATCACCTAGATATCTGAAATAATAAGGTAACTCTTTGGAATTTGTGGTTGTTTATTTTGAGAAAATTAGCATTATTTTGATCTTCTTCCCTTGCTACTCTCATGAATTTTTTTTTCACGTCGTTTATCTTCAGTCCTACATATTCAGTTTCATTAATTAATATCTTTGCAAAACCCTTAGATCATCTTCCTTTTCTGCCATCAGTACTATGCCATCCGCAAAAGCCAATATATTAATATTTTCCCCCAGTTTTAGTCCTAAGGGTGAATTTTGTACTGCTTGTAGGGCTTCCTCTAGAGCAATATTGAACAGGAGGGGGAATAGTCCCCCTCCTGTCTTTCTGGTGTTCCCTGTCCCACCCCTGTATAACTTAGACGTGGTTTCTCCATCTATCTTTACTTTACAACCTTAGTTTGAAACACACATGGTTATTAACTTTATAAGCTTATCCAGTATCCCAATTTTTTCCATTTTCTCCCATATCTTTGGTTAAACATTGAAATGAAATTAAGCCGTCTTCTGGATTTCTTTTATTTAAAAATGATATTTCATAATTTTTTTCCAAAATTATCATTAAATAGGCCCTACACAAACAATTAAATTATATGCAACGCCCCATCAGTTTTCCTCGATAGCTTACAGTGAAACAATGTTGTTTTAGCTTAGTACTATCGTAATGGTATTTGAATCATATGGACAACAAACATATTATCATTTTAGACAATTTGGCATTGACATTTGCTATTTAAACACAAGTAGAGGTTTTTGGCCTATATGCAGCAGACTTATGTCAAGATTAGCTACAGATTTAAATAGTTGTGCCAAGCTTTTTGGCTATGTCTTGAGAATCATCATGTATTTTAACAATTAATTTTTGTTTGTTTAAAATTTATCATCAATAACTCGTTACAATCTTAGAGAAGAAAATAGAAGAAGATTGTATTCTAAGAATGGTGTCTGAAAATCTCCCTGGGGGAAGAAGACCATTAGGACGACCTCGGCTAAGATGGCAGGGCCAGGTGTGAAGAGACATAGGGAAGCTAAGAGCTGAGACAGAATGGATGGAATACAGAGAGACGTGGAGACTTTTTGTTGGTGAGGCCAAAAACCTACTGTGGTTTGAGTGGCCACATAGGTATTGTAAGGTAACTTCTTACAATATTGTAATCCTAATAAAATAAATTTTGTTCTAGGTCAGACTTGTGAGGTATGCTGAGCCAAAATCAAATCACTTTAGTTCTAAGTTCTAAACACAAATCCCATTTCAAACAACACAAATTTATTTCAAGCTTTTTATTTTCATCGAGGGATTGGAATGAAACGACGACTGCCACGTGTTGTTATTGTAAATAAATAAACTGAATGTTTCATTGTTTACTAAGTTATTTGTTTTGTTGAATTTGCGTGTGACACAATAATAGCTTTTGCTTTGTTTGTACTTTCCAATAAAGGAAAATGTTATTTTTAACATGTATTCTATTATTAGCCTTTTTTGTAAACTGTCCATGGCTCTACAACTCTCTTTGGTTTGATTTGTGTTGTGATAGATTTCGATTGGACACACCAATCATCATCAGACCAATTGCTAATATTGGTTGACGTTGATTCGCCTATTGGGTCTGATGATGGTTGGAGTGTCCAATTGAAATTGATATATCGATACCACTTACCATCTCTTTTATATGTATTTACCCATTTACCGTGTTGTGAGTAAACAGTATAAGTGTAAATACTATAAGTTTTATTTTATGTATTTTTGTACTTTCAGGTATTTTTATCTATGGTCATGTCATTAAGTAACTGGGTCCAGATCTATCTTTCTTACGATTGAGCTGTTAATCTTCCGTTTTTAAGATGAGCTCTCTACCCACTTAGCTATCTGTAATTTGTGATTAATTAATTTCAAAAAGCTACTATAACTTGGCCTTTAAACTTTTGGTTAAATATTTGTATCAAGTTACTCTATATAGCCTACTAAATTGTGGTACTATTTGCTTTATTTTTTTCTGTGACACATATCCAAGTTTTTCGTTTCTTGCTTGTACAGTGGAACCTTAATAACAAGTCACTCTTGATAACACGTGTAGTTTTCGAATACCCATGATTTTTAGACTACGCTTAATCCCACATCAATTGCAAACCTTGTTAAGAAGTTTACCCTGATAACAAATTGAAATCTTATTTGATAATGTCACATATTCATTGCTGATTTTCAGCCACTGTATTCTGAATTTCCGTTATGAATAAACAGATTTAAATTGAATACACCTCATAAGACTTGCTATCGGGGTTCTGTACTTTGAAATGTGTATACATTTTTAGGTTTTCTTAAATTATTAACTTACAATTATTACTTTTGTGAACATTTCAGTGGAAAATGTGCTCTTTAACGTTTCCGTAGGTCAAGGAAAGAATAAGTTTAACTTTTCTAGAAACATAAATCATATTTATTTCACTGCCAATTTCTTCTCCATTGCCTCTCGCAACTTGTATTTTTGAATTTTTCCAGATCCAGTTTTTGGAAAGTCCTCCACAATTTCGATGTATTTTGGTATTTTAAAGTAAGCAATCTGTAAAAAAAAAAATCTTAATATGTTTTAAATTGACTTAACCATCATACAACTCAATGATTGAAAATCAATAGGCCTACATCTCTATATAAACATTTATGTAAATATTTAAAACCAGTTACTATAATTTTAAGTAGGGTAGTTATAATTTGCTGAGTATAATATGCAGAGTTTTTCAACTTTAAATCTGTAATGAATCTTGTTAAAAATCTTAAATTCTATTCTTCCAGATTCTTGACATTCAGTTAAAGGCTTACTTTTCTCAAACAGTCAATACTTGGCCAATAAACCTTTCCATGAGTGTTTTATGTCATTTGAAAAGAGGTATGGTGTAATATATACGCTGAACTGAAGAGTACAACTTTTGTTATAGAAAAGTACCATAAATATTGTTAACCTAAACCTAGTACAAGGTTTGTTACAATCATTCTAGTAATTAAGTAGCAATCATTACCTAAACAAATGAGAGAGCCAGGGACATACAGATACACAAAAGTCTCCCACAACACTTCATGTATTGTAACTTTCAGTATCCCGTCCTAGTGTCCAATACTCATACTTATACAAAAAGTGGAATTCACTAAAAGCAAACTAAACTCTGTTCTTGTTAAAAAAAATTCTAGACATGTGAAATTCCTTAAGGTATTTTACTACAATTAGTATTTTGTTTGTAAAGTCATCATAACAGATCTATATCCTACACAAGAAATATTGTTTTAACTAAATATGTTACAAGGACGGAGTTTAGCAATGCGTTTTTGATTAATCAAACACATCACCTTGTCTTTACAGAAGTCCTTGACCTCTTGTTCAGTCAGTTTAGCTCCGGGAGTCAGTCTCAAGCTGCATCCAACCTCTTCTCCTAGTCTCTCATTGGACACTCCGTACACCTGTAGTAGGGCCATTAACTTATATTCGGAGTAGATGCAAGACACGGCAGGTAACATTGGCTCCCTGCTATCAGTCACACAAACTATCACAATTTTATTACCGCTGATCCTGGCCATATACCTTAAAGAAAGTTGGTTTTTGATCTACGATCATAACAAATCATCAAGTTAAACATTTTGCCACAGAGAACTAGATAAAGGTAAACACACCTCGTCCATTCAGTCCTATGAAAATTAGTCTAGGATTAGGTACAGTTTGGTGTCATGTGACCCATTATCAATCCAAGATCAAAATTGAAGACAGCCCATAACATCTGACAATGTCTTCGCCATCATACACGCACCAAAACAACAGGATTAATATTTAAATATATCTCTTGGGGAATATGTAAAATTTATGGTAGCACGTTTAATGACTGTTGGGAATTCATTTGGCAATAATGTCTATTTAAATTTTTGATAGTGGTAGTAGGGGCAAGGGCAAGAGTATCAAATCCAAGGATTTTAAGCTGTGTGTACAAAAAAGTTAAACAACACATGTTTTGCATCAATTCATAGAACACTGGATTTTTTGGAAACAGTTTTTCATCATACTGTCTGGAAAAAAGCTGGTTTTAGTTCTCTGAATTGTCTGCAAAATTATCGTTTTCGGGTAACTTTAATAGGGCAGAGAAAAAATGTCTATACATTTTTTGGTTCCCTAACATCAAAATTGGTTTATGACACATTAAATACATTATAAATTAATGTTGTGTTAAGTTATGTTTGTAAACAACAGAAATGTAAACAGTGATGACGAATTTGTATAACCTCAAACTAGGTGGTCTAATTTTGTAACCGTTAGAAGGTTATTCCCACAGTATGATGAAAATAATTGTTCAATACACAGAGCCAAAGTGTCATTTACTTAATCGTATTCCCTTTTTGTTACTCAATCGTAAAACATGCTTGCATACCAAAATGAGCCACTTTCGCTCCTAGTGATGAAATATATTTCTAAAAAAGGCTGCTTACAGTACCTGTTTCAAAAACCTTGTTTACACCGTAATTTGTAAGAAAAACAATACTGGTTATCAACATGTTTTTTTTTTACATTTTGTTGCAAACTCTGATGTAAACGCAACTTTAGTTTGCATACCTGTGCATCCAAGATGTTTGGGTGTGTGACTAGATAATCCTCTACCTCCCTTGGTGATATGTTTTCTCCTCCTCGGATGATCATGTCCTTGATTCTGCCAACAACTTGTCCATATCCGTCTTCCCCAAGTACAAACCTGTCTCTGAACAAGTGATAGGAAAGTATAGTTTGAGGGATGATAAATATACCTACAAGAGTGTTACCATAAATTCGAAACACGTAATTCTGTTGGATTAAACTCATAAGGCACATTGAGATATTGTAAAACATTTATAAAGTAGTATAGGTACTATATACATTATAATCTATCGTTCAAAACTCATAGTTTGAATTCTAAAGTTTTATTTTTTTTTATTTGTAGATTTTTGATTATATGGGTGAAGTGCCTATTCTCTCCCTAGAAATGGTACTATCTGCTAGGGAAGAAATTTCTCTTCGGCAACAGCACTTTGCATGCTCAAAAGGTAATTCAACCTTTAGATTCTATGGTTTGGATAAATTTGGTCTACAAATATTTTTTTGGAATGTTGGTTGTGTCTAAAAATAAATTCAGGATACCTCTTGAACATTCATTTTTTAAAGCAATTCTTTTCACAAATTATTTTGAATTCACACGGAATTAAAATACTAAGGGGTGGTATACTCCAAAGAATTACCACCATCTGCTTCAAAAAGCTCTTGTTAGATAAATATTTATTTCCTCCAATTTCACGTCTGTACATAGACGATATAAAATACTATTCGGAACAACTAAACCCTGTTAGTTGTTATTATCAGGGCCGGTTCTAGGAATTTTTCAGAGTTAAGCGAACACCCGAATCAGCGTCACCTAGAATCCCCCCACCCCAACCGCAACCCCCATGAACGTAACTTAACCCTATTTGTTAAATTTTATTTCCAAAATTTTGGAAAGAACTTTTTTATAAGTTTAGGTTAGAAGAATACTTACAATAAAAGACTTTTTTCAACTACTGTTTATTACTCACAGCAATTTAAAATTTTTACTCATCATATACACTTCAGCAAAATCCAAAGTTAACAATTTATTTCTAAATGTGAAATCAATTTTTACAGGATAACTTGGATACGATATAAGTTTTTATAAAGCCTATATTGCAATGAAAAACAGGCATAGGGAGATGAAAAGAGAGGAATTTTTAATTGAATACATTAATCATGTAGAAAACATGACAAACCAAATTGAAGTATTACCTTGACAAAAAGAATACAGATTGTTCAATTTGAACAGTTCAAATTAAAAGTCCTTACCTGTTTAAAATTAACTCTCCTAGCTTTGATCTTGGCAAATTCTTTAATTGCTGAGTCGGTATCAATCTGGTTCAGAACATCATTTTCTATTGCCATTAGTGATAAGCCTACTAGAGTGCATTACAACGTACTGCTCTGCTCTAGGAGGGGAAGAAAAGAGGGGGAAGTTTCTTGTTGTGACAAGTGGCGCTGCGCGCTTATCTCGGGCATGATTCATGAAACATGAAATGAAACCCACAGGCGCCGCGCTGTACTCTGCCGAGCGTCAGCTCACTACAAATCGAAACTGCAAATCCAACAGCAACCTTGAGTTGAAGTGCTGTTGGTACAAACAGAATAAATGCCTTTGGTGTGTTTCTTTGGATACTTGAACTCTGAGCGAAAAAAACAAAATTTAGTTGTTCACTTGTCAGTAAATTTGTTTCCAATTTTGTCTTCTGAGAAAAAAAATTGTGTCCCGTTGGCGCCACTTTTTCGTAGCGCCATATGCGACCGCGTAGTTCGCGTATGGGTTAAACCGGCCCTGGTTATTATTGTATCAGAGTGGGATAAGCTGATTCGTAGGGGTTCGGGCTTTGGTTCCTGAGATCTTAGGTTGAAA